GATATTTATCTACATACATATATTATACTTTTTTGCTTATATTTACATTCCTTATTAAGGAGGTTTGGGAAAAAAGTTCTAAATAAAGAAACGTGCCAAAAAAATGTATATTATATCTGAGCACATTAGGAGTGCACATGAATTTTTTCAGATTTTCCACTAGGGGAAATTTTTGAGAAAAAAATTATGGAATTTTGACAGTTTAACATGGTCTCTTATGCAGGAACAAGGTTAGGTTTGCCTTTTAATAAAAATTAAGATATATTCTATATGTGTCGGAATGAAAAAAAGCGTTTTCATAGATAACTTCGTATAAAAGGAAGATGTTCGACAAAAAAAATCAAGCCTTGCCAGGTATTTTTCAAAAATATAAGCAGTTTTAGTCGTACAGTTTCAAGTTGCAAGAGGAGGTGCGCGGAAAAGGGGGCCCAGCTGCACGGGCAGGGGGTTTCCCCGTTCCTCGCCTCCCTGAATGATACTCCCAAACCTCCTTAATATGTTTTGGCTATTACATTGACAAAATTTGTACTACATATGTGTACAAACATCAAAGCGGATTCTTTAGTCTTTTATCAATAGTGCGTTTTTTAAAAAAAAAGTCGTACAGAGACTATATAAAGCTTTTTTTATAGAATACATACTAGTTTCAATCACTTGTTACTCGGAGCATAGATTTAAACAAAAAAAGTTGTATTGTATATAAACAGTTTACCTACTTTTCACCTATAGTAAATTGTTATTATCACTTTACAGAAACAGTTACCAAAATATTTTGACAGCACGTAAATCATTTACAGTTAATAAATAGTAGTTTTCCTACGAGTTTAAAAAGTCTTTGTTTGCGAACCGAGAGGTTTGCGGCCCGAGCCGAAGGCGAGGTCCGTGACGAGGTTCGTAAAGGAGACTTTTCGAACGAGTTCCGGAAAACTGCTTTTTCGCCCGAGGAAGTACCAGCCTCCCAAAACCACCCGAGGGCGGAAAAATTTTTTTCCTCTGTTTTGAAAGTAACACTATATCTTTTTTGATAGATCAATTACTATAAAAAGAACTAAAATTTCAAAATTTAGATTTCACTTTTAATCCTTGCAATCGGTTCATGAATTTTATATTTAATACGACACACAATGTTCTGCATAAATTTATCTGATTGTTAGTAGTTAATAAGATAAACCATCTGAAAACACTTCTAGCCGTACAACGCAAGGCAACTATTTTTTTTTTTTTTGTAGTTATATTAGCATAGTCGTATTATCGGTATCTTCAACCACATAACACAGGTTGATTTTATTAAAAAACTTACAGAACTCCTACGACGGATAGCTTAACTTCAAAATCTTTAAAACTTTTTTTTTAATCATTCAATTCATTCATTTTTTAGAATCGTATTTTAATTACTTTATTATAAATAGTAGACATATAAATACAGAAAACTAGTTTGAACTCTTCACGATTTTAAGAAAAGCATGGAAAACTAGGATAAATAGTTGGTTGATTTTTTTAGAAAACTGTAGATTTTTTAAGAATTTTGTTCTACAAATGTATTTATTGATACTATTTTAACTCTTAAGGAAAGCTCTTGCGAGCAAAAATAGACCAAAGCTCGTTTTTATTGATACATAAATTTGTAGTTAGAAACTTCTTTTAGTTTTCACAATTCCTAACTCTAAGTAATTCATCAGAATAATATAAAGAGTATATTCAGAGTTGTAAACAGAAGAGAGCCTTTTCAAACCGAATATAAAAAAAAGCCTTTAATTTTTATTCCTCCAATTTTCAGTTGGTACTACATTTACGTAATATACATATCAATAAATAAATCATTGAATCATAACATTATCGTGAATCACTAGGTATGATGGGGCGCTTACTGAGCATCTTAATGATTAACAAAGCATTAGTTGAAAACAGAAGCGCTTATCACCAAATAACATGCGGTACTTACTTGCCACCTAATTAATGTAATTATTGGTCAGTAGCAGTCCACGGTACGTGATAATTGGCGCTTGTGTTATAAATTATTGCTTGATTAACTCAATCATTGGCCAATAAGCACCCCGTGATGTTTAGTTATTGATGATCATGTTATAAATTTATGCTTAAGTAATTGATCTATAAAAACATATACATTAAATTTCCACCTTAAAATAGAAGTAAAAAAATTAATTAAAAGGCTTTTATGAGTTTTTGATGAACTTCTCGTTTCACTCTTCAGTATATAATAAACATGTAGATTTATACAGAGGTACATGACCAACCAAGAGCTGGGTGAGGAGCAAATAAAAACTCCAAAATGTCGGTGAATAATTTTGAGCAACAATTCGTTGGGCTTAACATCAACCTTATCAGGCTCAGTCTGTCTTGTTATACCGATCGACGTCAGCTTAGTACACTTTAGTGTACCTCTGCATAAAAAGGCCTTTTCTTTTGGTTTAAAAAGACTCTTTTCTGCCTAAAAATCTGAGAAGGCTCTTTCTTGACTTTTACTCTGAAAAAATTCTTTTCTGCACTTACCCGATGGTATCATTGTTAAAAGTATTACGATGCTTTTCTTGCATTTAATGTAAATTATTGAATTTTTGTAATAACCTGCAGCATAAAAATAGCTTTATTATAATACTCATTCTAAAAGATAATTAATTATTTTTTATTTGAAATAAAATACTACGGTATTTTGAAAAATATTTTGTCTCAGAATCTTGCGGAATAATTTTGATTACTCATTAGTACAACTGTTTCATTCATTATTATTCTGCTGGCAGTCTAAAATTTTTAAAACTCCTTAGTGCATTTTAAAACTCCTTAGAAATTATGAACATCCTATTGACGACAGAAAAAAGCCGGAGGCAGAAGCCTAAATTAGAGTACAATCATCAGTGCCTGTTTACTGCTATTGACTAAAATTTAAAATTTTAATCAGTGAATTTTGATAAACAAAATAAAAAATAGTTTTGTAAAAATTTTAAAATTGTTTGCAAATCTTTAACAAGGTGTGATACCAATATTCAATTTTAGACTGCCAGCAGAATAATAATGAATGAAACAGTTGTACTAATGAGTAATCAAAATTATTCCGCAAGATTCTGAGACAAAATATTTTTCAAAATACCGTAGTATTTTATTTCAAATAAAAAATAATTAATTATCTTTTAGAATGAGTATTATAATAAAGCTATTTTTATGCTGCAGGTTATTACAAAAATTCAATAATTTACATTAAATGCAAGAAAAGCATCGTAATACTTTTAACAATGATACCATCGGGTAAGTGCAGAAAAGAATTTTTTCAGAGTAAAAGTCAAGAAAGAGCCTTCTCAGATTTTTAGGCAGAAAAGAGTCTTTTTAAACTAAAAGAAAAGGCCTTTTTATACAGAGGTACACTAAAGTGTACTAAACTGACGTCGATCGGTATAACAAGACAGACTGAGCCTGACAAGGTTGATGTTAAGCCCAACGAATTGTTGCTCAAAATTATTCACCGACATTTTGGAGTTTTTATTTGCTCCTCACCCAGCTCTTGGTTGGTCATGTACCTCTGTATAAATCTACATGTTTATTATATACTGAAGAGTGAAACGAGAAGTTCATCAAAAACACATAAAAGCCTTTTAATTAATCTTTTTACTTCTATTTTAAGGTGGTAATTTAATGTATATGTTTTTATAGATCAATTACTTAAGCATAAATTTATGGACTGCTACTGACCAATAATTACATTAATTAGGTGGCAAGTAAGTACCCCATATTATTTGGTGATAAGCGCTTCTGTTTTCAACTAATGCTTTGTTAATCATTAAGATGCTCAGTAAGCGCCCCATCATACCTAGTGATTCACGATAATGTTATGATTTAATGATTTATTTATTGATATGTATATTACGTAAATGTAGTACGAACTCAAAATCGGAGGAATAAAAATTAAAGACCTTCGTAGAAAAATTGGTAAAATGCTTTCCCTGCAAGAAAGAGGTCCAGGTTCAAGAGCTTATAGTCAAGGTGGAACTTTTTTTCCATTGCTGTGTACGACAATTTTCTTCCAAATTATAAGTAATAACTGAAAAATGAGTTGCCTAGGCAAATTTATATTGTATGGTAACTATCGATTAATTAAATTACTCGCATTGATATTAATTTACTCATAAAATTATATTTTATTTTCTAATATAGTGTACATCATTTAAAATAACATTTACTCTTAAGCTTAAAAGAAACATTTTTTTAAATGTTCCAAATGTGTCTACTTCCATTTTATGCAATATAAGTTTTACTTTTAATTTAGGGACTATGATGTAAAGACGATAAGATGTCCCTGCGTGCTTCTCCTAAAGCTAATAGCCAATCACATGCCTACCGAAAAAAAGCCGTCTTTAAATATACGCTAAAACTAGACCATGAAACGATGCAAAGCTGGGCAGCGGCAGTAACAAATGTAATAAATAATAAAATGAGTTTCGGTTGACTGATGATCACATCTTATCTTTCTGACATCTTGCTAGGGTCTGAAAACTTACTCTTTTTAAGGTGGTTTGCCCATAAATGCAAATGTCTCACGAACTGGATGAAATTTTAAGAGATTGTTATTAAAGTTCTAATGTACTTACAATCAAAATTTCAGACCTGCTTAGCGTGGATTATTGGGCATAAAAGCACTTGGAACATTATACTTACAGGCTCATTGGCATTAGAATGGTAATAGATTTTTACCAAAACCAGATAAATATAATTGTAAAAATGCTCATGGCAGTAAAATAAAAATCACAGATTGATAGCTAAGATCACGAGCTTTCTCTTCGTACTAAAAAAGCTGGGGTTAGTGTAAATTTTATTGAGATATTTAAAAAAGAAGTTTACTGTTTATTGGTTTTCCGCAAGCTTGGCTTAGGATAAGAGAAAGTTTTCATTGATAAACCACCTTAAGTGAAAGCAGTATATCACGCAAAAATCTTTGTTTACAATTTCGATTCTAAACTGATAGTTTAACTACACAAAGTTTAGTATGTTACCTGTAGTCTGGAACTGTTGGTTCAGAATTTGGCCTTCGTGAGCCCGACGGCAAGGGTGTTCTTTTAATTGCATAAATGTATATTCCGGTCATTGTCAAGGTATATGAGAGGAAATATAAAGTATGAAACTGTAACACAATACATAGTAAATGGTTTTTTTGGAAAAAATAGTCATAATAGTGTACAATCATGTCAATAAAAAAGAAAAAAGTTTTATTATATGCAATATGAAACATAAGTACTTAAACTAATCAAATGATAATTTGAAATGAAACACAAATATAACTGATATTGCTGAATAATACTAAACCTACTTACTTTATATTGATGTATCAGTATTCCAAAAAGAATATTAAAGAAATCAGCGGTTAACAAAGTTAATTGGAGAGAAGTAGCACCAGTCTCGTACAAGACAACTGGTACCAAGGAGTAAAATACAAACTGGGTTATACAGTATATGACTATCGAAGCCATAATTGGTAGGTTGTCATAGTGAAAGTTTTCTACTTGAACCTTTTCCAGGACAGCTCTGAAATGAGGCAAAATTGGTGACGACTTTTTCAGTTTACATATTGTTAAGCATTAATTTTGCTCACAAGAATGCTGGAAAGTTTGAGCAAAGAAAAATTTGTGAATAATTATCTTTTTATGTGTAATAATTGTTTACATAAAGATATTTTTTAAGCACAGTATGATTTTTTCAAGTCTGGTCAGTTAAGTGCAAGGGAAAAAGATTTAATTGAATGAATATTCCAGAACCCTACAAAAATTTAATTTCTTGTATGTAACTTTTAATTGTTAAAAACAATTTTCACTGTCTTAATATTGTAAGAGAACTATTTCAAATGTTGATAAACAATAATTTTGCGCTATAACAGAAAAATTAAAAAGTCTTATACATCTTACAAAGATATATTGTATGAAAATATGTAACTGCTGATATGCGTCAAAATTTTTGAATAAAACCTCGAAAAATGTAAAAAAAGCAATTTTACCATAATTTTTTTACTTTAACTTTTCAACCATTATTCACAAATATTAGAAAATATATAAATGTGCTGTATTTAAATTATACATTTCTTGAAACTTACATCTGTGAACCACATAGTATAGTTCCAAAAAATCCGATCATTCCAAGATACTCTATGATATCAATAGATTTTACTGCCAACTCTTGAAGAACCGCAATAATGGAAAATAAAACAGCACCACCAAGACATAACATGTCTCCAACAAGTTGATTTTTTCCTACATTGGAAAAAACATTAATTTATGTAATATTTTTATGAAATCTTTGAACAAAATATTTTATAGTAATTATATAATTATGCTTGCATAATTGGATAGTTTCATTGGTCGGATAAAAATGTTATAGTTAAGTACGGCGTGTGTAATGACAGAACACTATCGTAAGCGTTAGCATAAGAAGTTTGTTTTTCTATACCGTTATTTCCAGATGAAAATTTTTTAGAGTAGTTCACAGTAATTTTTCTAGTATATGCAAAATTCATCTAAAACTCACTATAATTATTACTGTGCGGCAACGGTAAAATTTCCCCTAAAAAAGTATGCAGCCATAGGTTTCACGATATGTGAGTTAAAGGAGAAGGCCGATCAGTTGTCTTTTGCAGGTGGGCTAACCTGAAAATTGCTGTAGCGCACCTATAAACTTACACAGATAGACCGCGCATCCAATTTTTTTTTTTTTTTAATAAATACCTACTTGCGTAGTGTATTTATTTTAAAGCTTTATCAAGTCCTTAAGGGCTTTTGTAGCTACAGAATATTACATTATTGTAAATACATTAGGGTTGAGAACTGTGGGTTAGATCTTAAAACTAATTCTTAATCCTAAGACGCTGTCGTGAATTGGATTCCAGAAAAGACCATCAGAAAAAATCTTAGTGCCCCAACCGGGAATCGAACCCACGACCCCTTGAGCTGTGTTGAACGAATCCAAGTGGGTACCTTGCAGCCAACATCTTGGAAATGAGGAGAGAGCCAGAGAGTTTTTTCTAACAAGGTTCCGTCTCTCTCTTTTAAGGAAATGGAAAAAAAAGTGAGAAGGGATGTGGTAATTGCAGCGCTTTCTTGTACTGACGTAGGTTCACAACTAAATACTTGGTAAGATTTAAAACACCTTTTAAAGCTACTATAAACCCCCAGGAATCAGTTTTTTTACACTGTTACGGAATAAGCTTCAGGGATTCTTGTGTAGATGGAGAGCAGGTAATTTCGATTTATTTAATAAATGGATTAAAGTGTTTGAAATATTGTAGTTGATAGCTCCACCAAAAAGGCAGAGCAGGGGCTCAAACATGATCAACTAAGGACTCGCGAAACTTTACACTGACTGCTTAGCCACGACCGTCACCGAGAGCGGCTGTATTAATTGCACTCTTAGATGCACCCTATTGTGTCATCAGTTGTACGCCGGTGTGCCAACACACGGGTGCTGGCTTGACTAAACCAAGCCACGTTCGTGTCAATACTGTAGAACACTTATTGCTCTAGATTTGTCAAAGCACTTCAATGATTTCATGTAGTTTATTATGTCTTCAATTTTTTTTCCATTTTTTTAATCTCTGAAGTAATGCTGTCTTTGAATTTGCTTTTACCGTGTTTAAATTTAGAATTAAGGATGTCAAACGCATCATTAATATTTTTACGAAAATCGCGGTGGCGTTTGCACCCTTAACATCTTCATTTTTTTCTAAATAAATTAATGCATCTTAAAATCATATTATTTCAGTCAATCAGAGTATATTTTGTTATAGAATTTCTGATCAATTTCAACATGTGACAGGCATCTGGAATAATAATGATTGGCTCATCAGTTGCTGGGTGCGTAAAGGAGCAAACTTCATCCACATTTTTTACATTTGCACCAAGCTCAGCGGCCATGGACAAGTTTGTGGATGCTCTATTAAACGTGACTGCGCGCGCTCACTTATACCGTAGTCATTAGGAAATATAATAATCTCTTTCAAAATTTTTGATTGACCTTTGGTAAAGTAATACGTGATCGGTGTTTCAAACTGCCTATTCAGCCAGACAAGCATGAAAACTGAAGAGTAGGATGCTTCTTCAAGGCTATTTCTCTTTTTGTAAGCCCCTATGAAATGGGAAAGATTTTCATAAAAAATTATCTTACGTATCTGTATGCTGCTGTAAAGTAAAATAATAACGAGCATGCAAATTCTTGTAACTCTAGTAAGTAAGTAGCAGATCATCCTTGAGATAAAATACTCTTTACAATTTCTTTCGATGCTGGGGACGAATTTTTCTGTTGATAAAAAATTTTTTTTTTTTAAAAAAAGACTTAGTGTGTTACAAAAAATTTTTTAGAATGACCTTATACAGCATGATTCTGATACTATCAACCTAAATTCTTTATTTTTACTTCCTTCTTGACTGTACTACTGTAAAAAAAATCTGGGAGGGATAACAACAAATCTACATCATTCTTTGAACAATCTCATTACTTATGTCACTGTCTGAAATCTCTGAGAGGTTATCCTTAAAAAATGTTATTGTATATGACAGTGAAAGTAATTTTTGTGCCAAAAAATGACAAAATTTTGAAATGAATAGATACCACTCGTAGAATTTAGAGTAGTCCTCAGTCGTAGGTCATTAAATAAATTTTTAAGTGTACCTTTTTATATTTTAATACGTAGAAGACATTTGTTTAAAAAATATATAAATATGTGATTACATTTAATAAAAAAATCAGTAAAAAAATTAGTTAAGCTCATCAATTTTTGCATGATTATAATATAATATGTGTAAAAGTAGCATTTATAAATTAGCAATTCTTTTCGTGTATAAATATTTCTTAAATATTATCTTAAGCTTACTTATAAGGTAGCTAAGCTATCTTCTGTAATGAGTCCAGTTTTTTTTAAATTATCAAGGACACCCTTAAAACTATTGTCCTTACTTTTTAATTTTTAAATAGTAGTACTATTGGTTTTTAATTTTTATTTTGAGCCTTTGCGAAACTTTTGGGCAACTTCGTAAGCTTTAGTTGAAGTAAAGTGTTTCCGACGTAGAAATCCTATACATCGAATTTTTTTCAATGGTTTTCGCTCTGACAACGGTACTTCTCCGATTGTGAAACAAAGAAAATTAATAAACTTATACAATCAGCTACAATGTATTAACAAAAATGATAATATTTATTAAGATAAACCACCTTTTCCGTGCGTTGTTAGGTACTTGCATACTCGTGAAAGTGTCAGTAGATTGGTGGTCCTTGCTGTTTGGGTATACAGCTCGACAACGCAATGCTGATCTTTAAATTCTATTCTATTTAAATTTCCGTTTCATCTTTGAATTTCCTGTACTGGATATTCATCAGATCCAACAATAAAATTTATACGGTTCGAGTAAATAATGAAATACTATAAACTAACAAGTTTTGAATGAGTAGAAATAATACCTTGGCGATGATGATAATTCCATGTGCTGGCTTTGTACGGTACAATGATTAGATAATTTTGTTGAATCATTGCCTCTCAATACATAATTAGTAGTGTTACAAATATAAGTATAGGAGACTTATATCCCTAATGTCCCTATTAGGGTTCTTTTCCGCCGTTTAGGTAAGTAAGGTAAGGAGACAATATCCCGTCACGTGTATTCGGTAAGTAAGGTAAGGAGACAATATCCCATTGCATGTGTTCTTTATTAAAGGCTTACGTCTAGTTACACTGTAGGTTGTTGGTCAACTGCCCATTAGGCGTTGTTCTCTTCTTTACATAGCTTTTCACTACCATTGTGTTGGAAGTAGTGATGACCCCTGTGGAATTTCATGTAAGTAGGGGTTCCGAGTTTAATAGAGCTGATACAGTATTGTTGCAATCGTATAGGGGTATTAAGAAGCGATTTGTAGTAACGTGGTACTGATGACCACCTGAATTTGCACCTTTCGTCGCACATGTGAGGACATTGACGTTTTGAGCTAAACCTAGCTGACGTCCGTAACACGTCCAAAGGCCGCAGGTTCTCGTCCTCGAGGAGCCCCTAACTTCCCAGTGCCGAAGAAAAAGTTATTGTGTTCATGAGTGCCCGTGTTATATTATGATAATCTTATAACAGATAAGTTTAGTTTTTGTTTAGAAAAAGTTGCTTCATTCATAGGCCACTGCCTATGTTACATTCTGATACACAATCTTATAATAGATAAGTACTAATTTTTGTTTAGAAAAAGTTGCGTCATTCATAGGCCACTGCCTATGTTATATTCTGATACACAATTTTTAAGTATGTATGTATTTTTGAAAAGTAGTTACTTTACTCACGGGCCGCTGCCCATGTTACATTCTTACACATAATTTTGTTTATTACACTGAAATACTTATTTTGGAGTATGTTATTTTTTTGCTCTGTTTTTTTTTGTTATTTTTATATCATTTATTTATTTATCCATTTATTAATTTTTTTTTTTTTTTTTGATAAAAGATTATTTTAAGATCGGTAGCGTTATCCTAGTGCTCATAGGAGCGATGTGCAGCAATGCGGTCGTGCATGTATTTTGACAGTATACACGATTGATTACGTTACGCTGACTGTGACATTCAGCTCCATACAGCGCACTGCTAGTACCAATGAGGGAATGCGGGAAGGTGATGAAAGGAAAAAGTAATGTGAAATATCAGTAATTTCATGAGTTTTTGATCGCTGTCTGCTTGATTTAGATTACGGTGAAAAGTGACAGTGCAAAGGCATTTTCTTCCTCTCCATGTGAGCAAATTGCAGCAGTCATTTGTTTTGTATCGTAGCGTTCGACTTATTTTTTTCTAAAGTTACTCCTGCTACATCTCTGCTATCTTGCTTTTTGCTTCTTGCATATGTTCGTCTTATCGCATTTTGTTGTATAGTATTTCATCTGCACCTTTGCTAGCTGTTTGGTTTGCTGCGAGTAGCTGTGCAGTTGTGCATAATTGTTGTCAGTGATTTTAGAACCTTGCTGCAGTCGACTTCTCTTCAGTTTTTGCGTTTCTCGTTGTGTTTCTTGTATGTGATGTGTTATTGTGTTAATTTTTATCTGTTGTGGTAAAGAATGTTTTGGGATGGGTGTAAAACGGTATGATTTAACAAGTTTTCAGTGCCCTGAATGGGAAATAAAAAAAATTTTTTTTTGAAGCCACGGTCGTCACCTCGCACACCGCGTCCAGCTATTTCCTTTTTTGTACGGATATATAGATTTTTTATAAATAAATGGTCAATAAGCCCATGTTATG